GCTCCGTCTCTCCCCTCCCCCCCTCTGCAGCGCCTCTTCTCTCCAGCCCCATCCTTGTGTGGGCCGAGGGCTCATCTTCCAACCTTTAGATAGCTCCCTTCTGCCTCTGCTCCTACTTACGCATTCCTTCTTCACCCGCGGTTGGATCAGAGGGCAGAATAGTCTGTAAAGAAGCTGTGGAGGGGCTTTGGTTGTATTTTTCTGCGCTTCAAGATGATAGGTTTTTGAGGTTTCTTTGAAGTTTTGAGGTCTCTGTCCAAAAAGGAGGCAAATTTCAGATCTAATTTTCAGGTTTTTGTTTTTTTTTTTTTTTTTTTTTTTTTTTTTTTTTTTTTTGCTAAGTGCATAGCCTAGATCCTTCTAGCTCAGAGACATTGCAGATTTATATTTTCATAGATCACCTTGAGTTGGTTGCCATTTTCAAGCTAAGAAAATGGAGGTTCATAGGGTTTTGTGACTTGCTCAGATTCTCTCGATGTGTTGGGAAGAATGCCTATGTCTTCATAGCATTCGATTCAAAGGAAGATGCCTCCGTCCCCAACTTCTGCCCTTTAGAATTTGTACATGAAATCTACAAAGTCCACGTGTGGCCCTTCTGGTGCCTCCGGTCTGGATCAGCCGCTGTTGACACGACGCTTCCGTTTCTGGCCACGGCTGGATTTGGGCCACCCCTAGTCCCACCAAAACCAGCTGCTGGAGAAGGAACAAGGAACAGAGGGGAGGCTGGCTTTACGGCACCCTCCCCTTGCCATCCAGGGCTCTGGACCACTTGCAGGAAAGGAGACCTTAGCAGTGTGTTAGTGTGAGAAAGGGCTCGTATTTCCATGGTAAAAAAGAATGTGTCCTTTGGGGGCTGGTGGTGTTTGTGTAATTTGCTGATGATGGGAGCTTCGCCTGGGGGAGAGCAGAAGACGCTGTGTCCCAGGCTGTGTGTGAGTGTGGGAGTCAGAGTGACAGTGCTCACATTTAAAATATTTTGGGCACCTGACCTTAACTCAGCAGAGGGTGACCTAGGGGCTGAGTGACTGTTGGTCATCTTGAGCGCTCTGCTCGTTCACAGGCTCCATTTGACCTCGTGTCTAGGGCACGGTGCTGAGAAGTGTGGATTTATGTTTTGCAGTGTCTGTGTTCATAGTGCTAGCCCCCTCACAGGCCCCATGGTGTGGTGGAGAGTTTTTCTAGATGGTGCCCATGGTACTGGGAGAACGGGGAGGGAAAGCTCCTTCAACTGTAATAGCTATGGGCTGGGACTTTGCATGATGGAATTTTGCCTAACCCGGAGTTGATGGTTGACTGTGACTTTGGGGTGATGGGACTTTTGGTGAACGTGGTGTGCAAACGGAGTATCCTATCTGACCCTATAGGTTAGTCATTGCTTTAATATTTACTGAGAGTTTGATTTGCTAGAGCCTGTGTGAGCTACTGTAAGGGATAGAATAATGAAGCAAGAATTGTGTCTTCAAGGAGTCTATAGTCCGCTAAGGAATCTCTAATGTGTGTAAGTTGCTCTAATAATAATACCTGTTTTTGTTGAATGCTTGCCAGGTACCCAGCATTGTGACAAATATTTGGTATGTAGTAACTCGTTATTGCAGAGAAGCATGCAGTTGACAGGTTCTCGTTGGTCCCATTTTGAGGATGAGGAATTGAAAGCTCAGAGTTTAAGTAACTTGGCAAAGATACCTCAGCCAGCAGCTCCTGGCCTGTATGCCTTCCTGTCTTCCTGGACACGTTCTGCATGCAGTAGGCACGGGCCTCGGGGTAGACAGGTGGTTGGATTCTGAGGAAGAGTCCTTGCTTTCTGCCACAGTGACGAGGGGACACGTGATGGAACAGGCAGCACGTTAACTAACAGTGGGACACGAGGGAACACGTAGATGGTTGTCAGAGGGAAGAGAATTGGAAAAGCACAAAGATGAGAAGACACGGGGTGGAATAGAGGTGACAAGGAATGGATTCTGGCAGAATTGCCAGAATCTGGTTAGAAGGACCAACCCAATTCAAAGCTGGGCCGTGGCCCCTGTGAGCCTGCTTTATTTCCAGTCTACCCTTCACTTATGGGGTCATCTTTTGGTGCCTCCCCTAAAAGCTTCTGGGACTTCCTTCTGCTGTGCCTGGGGGACACTTCCTACTTTGTGCTGAGAGTTTGTCAGAGGCTCTGCCCCGATTCTCGGCTTCTCGGTCAACTCTTCTGGTATCTGCAGGCACCCTGAGGTGTCTAAGGAAATTTAATGCCACCTCCCGTCTAAGTATTTTCTACTTCTGCCAGATCATGGCCCTGTGGTTACTCACTGCCTTGCTGCTTCTCCAGCGCCTTGAAGAGATTTGAAGGCTATTTTGTGTTCTGTATTGTTCTCTGTGGCTGAGTTGGTCTGAATTGTCTAGCCTGCTGTCTGCAGAAGTAATGCCCCGATCCTCACTTTGTCCCTGTGCAGTTTGACCTACTTGTGGGACCCAGCCATCCAAGTTACTAGATGGATAGTCCCTTGGTGTGGGGTAGCATGTCCCAGGATCAGTTACTGCCACTCTGACCTCGGGGAGGTTATTCATGGCTCTTCTGTAAGATGGGGGCAGGTTTACAAGCCACAAAATACCTCACAGAAAGGAGTTGGTATCTTACCAATCTCAGTTTTGCTGTTTGTTTTTCTCTTGTATCTGTTCCCATGTATCTTAAGCCAAAATTAGTAGTTTTCAGTTCTCACACACGTGGCCTCCGGCAACTTGTTCCGCTAGCCTGGTCTATGCTAGAGGCCTCTCGTACTTGACACACTAGGGGAACACTTGTGCATGCCAGCTGGTTTGTTGCACAGCTCCAACTACTGGAGCTTTACTTGACAGGACAGCATCTCTTTATGTTCTTGAATAATAAAACTATTGTTCAATAAACTCACTAACTCAGCTGGAGTCTTCTTAGCTCGTTGGGAACTTGTTTCCATCAACAGATACTTAGGTATCTGTCACTTCAGACCTGTCCATATAAATAGACTTGTTTGCAAATGGAACAGTGTCCCAGAAGGTAGAGGGTCTGGCACACATACATGTGAATCCTAACACTTACTTGAAAAGTCAGTTAAAAATTTTTTGAAAATAAAAACAGAACTGTGTTTTTAAAGCTTTTTAGGGCGACATTAGAAACAGATTCTGGAGGTGAGTGGGGGACAGTGACACAGGTGAAGGGATTAGGGTATCTTGAGCCCTGAGTAGCGTGTAGAGTTGTTGGATCAATATGTTGTTCACCTGGAACTCCTAACGCTGTGTTGATTATACGGGAATTAAAAAAAAAAAAAAAAGATGATGAAATGATACAAAACAAATAAATAGTTTGATGAGTTGTTAGAAGGTAACACTCTTCTAACTAGGACCTGGATCAAAATCTAGAGCTTTGCCAGCTGGATGGCCTCTCACGTGCCCCGTCTTTACCCCCAAAGGGAGCAGCGTCCTGATTTCTAGTCAGTACTTAGCTCTACTTACTTATAGTCTTAGCATATGAGTATGTCCCTACATAGACGAGTTGATTAAGTTTCTCTTAACGGGCAGGTACCCCTGCTCTTTCCTTTTCCTGATAATTTATCTGTTCAGGAAGCTGGGACATCCAGCCCAAGGAGACTTCGACAGCGTGGGCTTGTTGATTGAGCACTTGTGGTGTCCTTCTGTCCCCTGCGTTTCCTGAAAATGGGGCAAAGCTGGATCCAGAAGCTTGATCAGGTTCGCCTCTGATCCCTTTGGCAAGTCCAGCGTGGTCTTGTGTTCTTAGGTCAGGAGGCAGGGAATGCCCCCTTGTTTCTCTCGTTGTGATGTTACTAATTGCCCGTGCTTTGTCCAGATCAGTGGTTCTCAACCAGGGACGATTTTGCTCCCACTCCCCTTTCCAGGGGACGTGTGGCAATTGTTGGTTGTTACAACTTGGGGGGAGGTTGCTCCTGGCATCTTGTGCGTAGAGGTCCGAGATGCTGCTATACATCCTGCTTGCACAGCACGGTCCCCAACAGGGAGAATTGTCCAGCCCCACGTCTCAGTGTTGAGGTTGAAAAATCCTGGACTAGGGGTTGTAAAATAGTATTCCGATTTTATCCCTTCTTTATCATTTTGCTAGAATGCTTTTATAAAGATACATGCTGCTCATCATGAGATTATCGAGTTGTACAGTTCATAAATGCTTGATTTTTTTAATTTACCAATTTTCAGGAAAATCAAGATTCTTATCCTCCACAGATGGCCATTGACTTTAAAAGAAAATTACAATGAACACATGGATTAAATGTGGATTTAATTTTTTTTTCACGTTTTATTTATTTTTGGGAGTGAGCGAGTGTGAGCATGGGCGGGGCAGAGAGAGGAAGAGAGAGAGGGGGGTGGACGGAAGATCCAAAGTGGAATCCGTGCTGACAGTGGCAGGCTCGATGCGGAGCTTGAACTCACGAACCGCGAGATCATGACCTGAGCTCAAGTCAGATGTTCAACTGAATGAGCCACCCAGGTGCCCCTAGATGTGGATTTAAATTAGATCCATTAGATACGGATTTACACCTACCTGAAGAGCATCCATCAGTTGGATTTACTATCACTTTGAGTTTGCATTGTCTCCTCTTGGCCAGTGGGAGCTTCTGCAGTTGGGTGCAGAGGCCTTTGACCCAGCCCTTATCTTGGTTGGTTTCCTTGCTCTGGCATAGAACGAGGTGTCCAAGCTCACCCGTACGTTTCCTGCCACTGACTTGGCGTCATCCGTTTCTTTGAGAACCCTGCCCTGGCTGCTTTTCCCTAAAAGTGAACAAGTGAGAACTCGAGACCATGGTCTGGACATCAGGGATGCTTATTGTGCTGTGTTGGTGATCGTTTCTAGGTCTTTACTGGGGACAGAGCTGATTACAGATATGCATGTAAAATTGTCTACCTTCTTTTTGTTCGAAACTGATACCTGAATTCAAGTTCAGGGAAACCAACGGGTTTTAAAATTCTCCATATTCTGTAAGTGCTAAAGCATCTTAAAATTTTACTTTTAGATGGAATCAGCGTGAGTGGCTTTCCGCTGTGCAGTCCCTTTCGACAGGTCGTTCGGCCTCGAGTGGAGAGCAAGCCTGTGAATGCCCCTGAAGGCGGCAAACCAGGAGACCCGAGCCACATGAAGGTGAGTCCACCCTGCACAGGTACGGTCTGCTCGGTGGCTTGGTGTTCTCAGTTTCGGCCACTCTGCCTTTTTGGAGGCAGAGTGTTGAGTGCTCTTCAGAAAAGAAAGAAAGAGAATCGTGTTGGTGGAAAGCTGGTTCCTCAGTATTTCTCCCTGTGGCATGTTTTGGAAAGCCGTTGCAACGAAGCTTGTATGATTGTGTGGTTAAGTCTCATTTCCATGAGATACTGGGAACTGGGGGTTGAGTCAAGGAGTGCAGTGATGAAAGTGGAATGTTTCCTACCTTTTACCTGTTTGTTTGAAAACTGTATTTATTGAATGACCATTCTCTGTATTCATCCCGAAACTTAATCTTTTGGCTACCAACCACGAATTGGTTTCTGAGTGGTGAGGAAGTCAAAATGAATACACACTGCTAGTGTAAAGGTGCCAGGGACTTCTGGCGGAGCAGAGGATGCTGTTTGCCAGGAGCCCTGGGAGGGGCCTGAGCCCGAGCTTGGAGTTTGGCGTCCATAGCATTTGGGAAAGCTCTGTCGGTCTGCGCCTGTCCAGGGATGGGGTGTAGCGAGAGCACCGAAGGCCTTCACAGCTACGGCGGGGGTGCGGGCAGCAGGGTCACCAGAATGGCTTGTCGAGTGAGCATGTGTTGAGGCCCAGCCCTGTGGGTGCTGCGTACAGTCTCGACGCCAGCATTTGGGGGGTGTTGATTGAGGGGACCCACCCACCGAGCTTGACCAAGCTGGTTGTGGCGTGGAGAATGTTGAGCACGGATGCTCTCTGAGGAGGGGTCAGGGCAAGAGGGACGCCAGCTGCTTTTGGTCGACGGCGGTCCTGTCCGTGGATGGAAGTCACAGACAGTTGGGTTTCAGGGAGTCCTCCTCGCCACTGAGGGCGCCACAGTAGAGAGAGGTGCTGGTGTAGCTGGGAGCTGTCCAGCATCTGGATCCCACACACTAGCCGGACTGTGGGTTTGGGCTCCTCTGGGAGCCGGGGGACTGGATGTGGGAAGATGCTTCCCGGCGTGGGAAGGAAGGCAGGGAGGTGTGGTGGAACCGCAGGGCACGGGATGCTGTCGGGGGAGTTCGGGGCACGGAGGGATGGGGAAGCTGCAGCAGTGATGTCCTCGTGGGTCCTTGGGTGTGACGTCCCCTGAGGCCTCCTGACAGCCAGCCCTGGCCCGTCGTCGGTTCTCCTCCCTGCCCAGGCCCCCCTGAGGACCGGCACTTTCCTCTGCCGCTCCGCTCCACCGTCGTGTGGCCTTCCCCACGGGACAGACTCTTGGAATTGAGGGAAGAACCTCAGGATCCCGGAGGTCCTCGTTCAGAGTCAGTTGGGTCATGGTGGCTGTGCCATCAATTGCGTTTTCTTGAATTGAGCGTTGCAAGGCTGGGTGCGCTGTAGTTCTTGGGCGATAAGTGTGTATAGATGTAAGATGAGTGTAAACGTGCTTAAATGGAAGTGCCCAACTGGAGTTTCCGTTTGCTGGGTGCGGCCTGTGTGTCAGGCCCGTGTCACGAGAATGCAAATGGACAGGTTCTACACAACTTTCTGAGTAGGTGGTCTCCTCCAAAGAGACAACCGTGGCTCTGAGGTGATGACACCATCAGCCCCCTCTCCAATCCCTGTCGGTTGCACCGTGACACCTTCTTTCTCTGTGCCTTTTCCCAAAATTACTGAGAAACAGAGTCCCAATGCCTCTTCTTAAAAATTTTAATTCCAGGGGCACCTGGGTGGCTCAGTCAGTTGAGCATCCGACTTAGGCTCAGGTCATGATCTCGCAGTCCGTGAGTTCGAGCCCCGCGTCGGGCCCTGTGCTGACAGCTCGGAGCCTGGAGCCTCCTTCAGATTCTGTGTCTCCCTCTCTTTCTGCCTCTCCCCCACTCATGCTCTGTCTCTGTCTCTCAAAAACAGACATTAGAAAAAATTTTAAAAAATTAAGAAATCGAATTCCAGTGTAGTTAACATACAATGTAATAGTAGTTTCAGGTGTTCAATATAGTGATTCGACAATTCCAAACAACACCTGGTGTTGACAAGTGCCTCCTTAATCCCCATCACCTATTTCCCCATCCCCTCTGGTGACCATCAGTTTGTTCTAAGAGTCTGTTTCTTGGTTTGCTTCTCTTTTTTCCTTTGCTCATTTTGTTTCTCAAATTTCACACACGAGTGAAATCATAAGGTATTTGTCTTTCTCTGACTTACTTCGCTTAGCATTATACTCTGTAGTCCTGTGCATGTTGTTGCAAATGGCAAGATGTCATTCTTTTGTACGGCTAATATTCCATTGTATATTTATGCATCTTTATCCATTCATCAGTCAGGGGACACTTGGGCTGCTTCCATAATTTGGCTACTGTTGATAATGCTGCTATAAACATTGGGGCACATGTATCCTTTTGATTTTGTGTTTTTGTATTTTTTGGTTAAATACCCGGTAGTGTGATTCCTGGATTATAGGGTAGTTGTATTCTTAACTTTCTGAGGACCCTCCATATGGTTTTCCAGAGTGGCTGCACCAGTTTGCATTCCCACCAATAGTGCGTGAGAGTTCGCCTTTCTCCACATCCTCACCAACACCTATTGTTTCTTGTGTTGTTGATTTTAGCCATTCTGATCGGTGTGTGATGATACCTTATGGCAATTTTGATTTGTATTTCTGTGATAATGAGCATCTTTTTTGTTGAGATGCCTATGACATTTTAATTACATCTATGACCATAAAGTAATGTTTTCTATAGGAACCAGAAACAGAGGGACTTGAATCAACTATATACCTTTGCTTTTGGTGCTACAGAGATTTCACCAGGAATTTATAATGGTGGAGATTACAGTTGATCAATTAGAGGACTAATATGAAAACATGAAGTTTCTAAGTGAGTGGAGAAAATCAGATTGAAATAAGACCTTGAGCTTTGGAATACAGGAAGAATTGAATATAAGGCACAATAGTGATTGCTAAAATGCCTATCCTAAATTCCTCTTTACAATGTAAGTTTTATTTATTTATTTTTAAATGGTTTTTTTTTTTTTTAATTTACTTTTGAGAGAGAGAGATAGAGTGTGAGCGGGGGAGGGGCAGAAAGAGAGGGAGACACAGAATCCAATGCAGGCTCCGGGCTCGGAGCTGTCAGCACAGAGCCCGGCGTGGGGCTTGAACTCATGAACTGTGAGATCATGACCTGAGCCGAAGTCAGACACTTAACTGACTGAGCCACCCAGGTGCTCCTACAATGTAAGTTTTAAAGATGACTGAGTAGCCGGATCCTGAGCTCCCCTTCTCTGACAGACATACCAACTCTGCAACTACAATGGAGCAGCTCTGTCTGAGAATGGCCTCAAGACAGGTACAACGGATTCTCCGCAGCTTAAACGTAAAGAAGCCCCCACTTTGGAATGTGATGGGGAATCAAACTCCTACAGGGGTACCCACGATTGGAAGGGCTGTCCTAGGTGTGGATGTCCTCCCCAGGGACCGAGGGATCAAGCCCCACATTCGGTACCCTGTCCTGGGGATGACAAGCCCCCGTGACCTATGGCTTTGAAAATCAATGGGACATCACTCCAGCAAAACCAGAGGGCTATAGAAAATTCAGTCTTCGCTCTGAAAGGGCTTGTGGGCTATATCACTGGGTCACAGGGACAGCCCCGGAGCTGCATTTTTCAGAAACACATGTGCCATAGATGAAGGAGGGTGTTCACTACTCGTAGGGTATGTGCTAGAGGGACTGGGGTCTGTAGGAAGTTTCTCTAGGAAAGGAGGTGCTGAACATGTGTAGCCTTCCAGCCTAGTTGGCCCGACATGGGCAGATGCAGACTTGCACATCTTCTATCTACCTTGCTGGCAACGCTTGCTGCTTCCTGGTGTTCCCTGTGTACTCCCTCCGCCCCACCCACCTACCCCTGTAGAGGCCCCTTCCAGGTGGCTCCCATCCTGCTGTACCTGGCAGGCAGCCTGAGGCAGGACCAACTCCTTCCAGAGGGGTCCTGCCCCCGGGAGGGGAGCCGGCTGCACCCACCAGCATACTCCCAGCAGCTACAGCTAGGCCTCTGAGCCAGCCCTGCCCACAGGTGTGCTTGCAGCAGTCACAGCCCAGCCATAGCAGGATGATGCATGCAGTCAACACAAGGGACACGCCTGGGGAACTCGGTTCTGGTGACCGGGCTGGAGTGCACTTGTGGGACCCCGGGGATGACTTCTCCACAAGGCCTCTACTTTGAAGACTGGGAGACGATGCAACTGATTGACCTAATACATAGAAACAAGCACAGACAAAATGAGGAGATGGGAATATGTTCCAGATGAAAGAACAAGACAAAATCTCAAATAACTAAACAAAACAGTTATAAGCAACATGCCTCCTGAAGAGTTCAAAGTATTGTTTAAGACCCTCCCTGAATTGAGACAAGTCAATGAACTCAGTGAGAGCGAGCTTGAACAAAGAGAGAGAAAATAGAAACAACAACCAGTCAGAGCTTGAATAAGTAACTCAAATGAAAGACCCGCGGAGGGATTCACTGTAGATGAGAGGGGCCACATGATCTGCGATCTGGAAGACAGGATGGGAAAGCAAGCAGGCTGAACTGCCAAAAGAAAACAATTAAAAAAAAATGAGGGTAGTTGAAGGGATCTCTGGAATGATGCCAAACGTGCTAACATTGCCACTGTATGATTCCTAGAAGGAGGGGAGGGAGGGAGGGAGGGAGCGTGCGCACAAGAACACGTATGTGAAGAAATAATGGCTGAAAAGTTCCCTAACCTGAAGGAAACAGACCTCAAGGTCCAGTAAGCACAGAGAGACCCAGATAAGAACCCAGAGAGATCCACATGAAGATCTATCCCCATCTAATCAACATACCAAAAGTTGTAGAGCGACTCTTAAAGGAAGCAGGAGAAAAAATGCTTCGCTACAAGGGAAATCCCATAGACCTCTCGGCTGGCTGTTGAGCCGAAGCTTGGCTGGCCACAGCATTGGTAGGGTGTGTTAAGGGTGCTGGTGGGG